TACCTTTTATAATGCCATGACACTATAAAAAGTTTTAAATCTTTATAAAGATATACTATTTTCAAGCCCTTTGAAGTATAATTTTACTGAAGCAAACAATAATATGTCAAAAATAAGTTAAAACAAACTACTTTCACTTGCTTCAAACTTTCCGAAGTCAATGGCTTTCCATCTAACTACAAGGTCACCATCCCCTCATCCTCGTTACATCTCTGCCTTCAACTTCTGCCGCTCTCTCCTTCCTCACTCACCAGTCTCCTTGAATACCTAAATGACCTCAGAAATATTCTAGAATTAGAATATTTACATTTTCATTCCCTCTGTCTTGTTTTCCCCAGACCTCCACACGGCTGACTGAACAACTACCTTATTTATTCAAATGTCACTTTCTCAGGGCTTTATGGTTTCGTCTGTATTTACAAATGCAATCCCCATCATGAGTGCATGTGTGCATGCGTGCTCAGCCATGCCCTACTCTTTGCGACCCCATAGACAGTAACCCTCCGGTCCCCTGTCCATGCAATTGAGCAGGCAAGAATACTGGAGTGGGTTGCCATTTCCTTCTCCAGGGGACAATCCCAATACCCACAGCCTACCCTTCCCTTCTCTGATTTAGCTTTTCTCCCATCATTATCACTGGCGAATGGCGGTGATGATATATGTGAAAGAATACATATATGTGAAAGAATACACATATATGTAAATGTGCTGTGTGTTGTGCTAAGTTGCTTCAGTTCTGTCTGACTCTTTGCAACCCTATGGACTGTAGCCTGCCTGGATCTTCTGTCCATGGGATTCTCCAGGCAAAAATACTGGAGTGGGTTGCTGTGCCCTCCTCCAGGGGATCTTCCTGACCCAGGGATCAAACCCGCGTCTCCTAAGTCTCCTGCATTGGCAGGCAGGTTCTTTACCACTAGCACCACCTGGGAAGCCGGTATATGTATATATGTTCTTTTAATTTTGTTTATTATCTGTTTTCTTTTCCCCACTAGAATATAAGAATGTAAATTGCAAAAATGTATGAATGCTTTTTTTGCTACATTTTCTTTGCTGACTAGATCTGTATTTGTCATATAGTAGGAAAAAGTAAGTGGTGATAAACATCTGAGAATTCTGTGCCACAGACTGATTGTAGCAGAGAAGAGATAGAAGTTACCTAATTCAATTAGTGGATTTTTAATTATGTGAAGGGAAGTCTGCAAGTCTGTATATAAATGACAGTTTGTTTTCAGAATCATGTCAGAAAGTGACAGAAATACCAAAATATATTGTGGTATGTCCACACCACAGTTCATGTCCATACCAAACTATTCCTTGCCATATCAGAGGAGCTCAAAGGAGACAGTTCTGATCAGCCCAAAGATAAACCCAGAAAATTAATTATCCTATAGAAAATGACTACAACGGCACCATAATGCAACTTTTTTAAACTGATTTAAGAATAGCAAGCTGGAAAGTCATCTGATAAAGAAGCATGTTGTAATAGATGAAGGGAAATTCTGGCTCAGAGGGGTGAAGTGGTCTCTTCACAATCTCTTGGGGTGGTCTCCACAGAACTTGAGCTAAAGTGATTTTAAAAGTTCCCATTGTTGTTCTGTCACTAAGTCTTGTCCAACTCTTTGCAACCGCATGGACTGCAGCATTGCATGTTCCCCTGTCCTTCACTATCTCCTGAAATTTGCTCAAATTCATATCCATTGATTTGGTGATGCTATAACCATCTCATCCTCTGCTGTTTTCTTTACTGCCTGCCCTCAATCTTTCCCAGCATTAGGGTCTTTTCCAATGAGTCAACTCTCTGCATCAGGTGGCCAAAGTATTGGAGCTTCAGCTTCAGCATCAGTCCTTCCAATGAATATTCAGGGTTGATTTTCTCTAGGACTGACTGGTTTTATCTCCTTGCTGTCCAAGAGACTCTCAAGAGTCTTCTCCAGCACCACAGTTTCAAAGCATGAGTTCTCTGGCATTCAGCCTTCTTTATGTTCCAACTCTCATGTCTCTACATGACTACTGGAAGAAACTATAGCTTTGACTCTACAGACCTTTGTCAGGAAAGTGATGTCTCTGTTTTCTAGTATGCTGTCTAGATTTATCATAACTTTACTTCCAAGGAGCATGTGTCTTTCAATTTCATTGCTGAAGTCACCATCCTCAGTGATTTTGGAGCCCAAGAAAATAACATGTCACTGCTTCCACTTTTCCCCCTGTTATTTTCAGATCAAATGTTTGTTGTATTCTATTTATTTTCATTGGTTCATTCTTCTAGTCAACTAATGTTTTTGAAGTCCTGTGATCAGTTGCTAAGTCGTGTCCAGCTCTTTGCGACCCCACAGACTGTAGCCCACCAGACTCAGACTCTGTCCATGGGCTTTCTAGGCAAGAATACTGGAGTGGGTGCCATCTCCTTCTCCAATGGATTTGAAGTCCTACTGTGTGCCAATTATCACTGTAGGCTTGGTGCATATAGCACTGAAAAGAATCTCTGGTTTCTTTCCTTCTCATGGAGGGAGACAGATACTTTTTAAAATAATTTAAATGTGCCCTAAGATAGAGATAAATGCTACGGATGAAAACAAAGGTAAACAGGTAGATGGAGAGCAGCTGTGGTGGGGGTGGGACTAGGGGCAGGAAAGGTCGTCACTGGAGCTCAGAGCTGGAGAAGGAGGGGTCAGAGGGGGTCTGAGCAAAGATGGCTCTGGACGCAGGAAAGAGCCAGTGCGAGTCTCCATGGAGGGGCCCGCCTGACCTGTTTGAGGAGCACCAGGAGGTCAGCATGATCAGAGCCAGAGGAGCACGCGGTAGGGCGGCAAGGAAGAGCCAGACCTCTGCGGGCCTTTGGCTAGTCTAAGAAAGGACTTTGTGAATAAGACCAGATGCCGTGTGGGAACTCGGAGCTGTGTCAGAAGCTGACTTGTACTTGAAATCTCAGCTTGGCTCTTTGTTGAAGGTAGACGTGAAGGGACAAGGGGCGGAGGGAGACGGGGCACCGGTTAAAGGTCATTATGGGATGTGCGGGCGAGGGGCCCAGGCTTGGACCAGAGCAGTCGGGGGCGCGGGGTGAGGAGGCCGGGATGCTGAGTAATGAGTGAAGGCGGAGCTCGTGGACGTCCCTGATGGGGTGCAGGAGGAGGCCGGAGAGGGGGCTTTGTCCCAGAACTGGAGCAATGGAGCTACCGCCTCCTGAAATAGGAAGACCGCAAGCGCGTTCAGGATGTTTCTCTCAACCTAAAGCTGTCTGTCTGTCTGTCTCTTTTTGACTCTGTCTGTGAGTGTGAATGTCTCTCACTGTCTTCCTTTGTAAGTTATCCCTCGGTTATTGAAAAACTGGATTATGTGATGTATACAGTTTTCCACAGCATGGGTTTTGCTCTTTGCTTTTGGTGTCATTTAACATCTACCCCTCCCCCTGTCTTTTCTAGAAGTTGGCAGGTAGGTATATAAACTTGGTGAAATCCATGTCTGAGTTTTATCCACACCCCCCACCTGAGGTGCTATATACCTGCCCCCGCCTCCAGAGCTCCAGGGGCACATCTCTGGTTTCACTTGTTGGATATATTTGCAGCCATGAACAGTCCTACTTGGACCCTACTGACTTGTTAGAAGTTTCCAAATGATGACACTCTTAGCATTTGGCCTTTGTTTAGGGGCTGAAATATTTCCACAAAGGGAGTTTTAGTTACTTTAAGATTCATATAACTAAGGTACACTAAATTCTGGATTCTTTGCCTTTTTTTACCAGTTTTCAAAATAATGAATTAGTTACCTAACACCTTCCAAAATTTGAACATTTCATTTTTGTGAATTCATGGGATTAAATATATTTGATGTATTTTAATTTATTGCAGGAAATTCTTATTGATGTTAATTTAAATCTTTTTTTTTTTTTTTTGGCCTTGGAGAATTTTTGAACCACACTTTGTCTCCAGTAGTTTGTTTCTGAGGTGGCAGCATGTTCCAGCCTCCTCTTAGCTATCTCTAGTCCTGGAATCAGACATTTCTCCAAGACCCTAGGTTTCTCTTAATGGAAAATGGTATTGAGTGATGACAACTGTTGCCAGAAGTTGGTCCTTGTTTAGGGAGATTTTTCAGTGGAAAGAACTAGGGCATATTTTAAAAAAGGTAACAACATCATCATGGGTTCATAGTGATGCTTCTAATTCAAATGCATAACTTTGTAGGATTTTAATTTCATCTCATCGATCTTCTAGATGCTTCTCCTTTTCACATATTGAAAGTTTCAGGGTTCGAAACACCAAGATAATTGCTGATTTGCATCATTCCACATGTATAGAGCATTTCAATAACAGAGCAGGCAGTGTCTAATTTTACCTGAAAGGTCAGGGTGAGAAGAACATTTGTTAACAAGATGAGGGTGCATACTCTGATTACAGCGAACAAAGCTCCAGAGACTAGAGAGCACGTAGCTCATTTAGGAGGGAGCAGAGATTGTTCTGCAGGAGGAAAGAAGGGTTAGAGCGCTGGGAAGGCATTGGAACACAGCCTCATGTCCAATGCTGCAGGTTTTAGAGCGTCCCACCAGATACTCAGGCTGTTTGCTTTAAGACATCTTGTGTTCGTTTTTAATAAAAGAAATACTACTTTTCTACTTTGTCAATATACACAGAACTTAGGTGTAAGGAAAGGTAGGGATTATTTTAATGATTACTATCCTTAACTCAAAGATTAATCCAAAGATTGAAGGCAAGAGGAGAAGGGGACGGCAGAGGATGAGGTGTTTGAATGGCATCACCAACTCAACAGACATGAGTTTGAGCAAGCTCTAGAAGTTGGTGATGGACAGGGAAGCCTGGCGTGCTGCAGTCCATGGGGTGGCAAAGAGTCAGACACGACTGAGCGACTGAACTGAACTGAATCCTTAACTCTGTTCTATATTTGTTCATAGAAAACAACCAGTGAAAGTGCAGCTCCCTTGTTTTCTGACTCTTGAAGATGCACTTGCATACTAATGACCCATTGTCCTGGCCTTTCCCTCCCCACAGAGGACAAAGTATGGACCATCGTGTCTCACGATTTGCAGATGCAGACGACAGTGGTGGGCTACAACCCAGAAAAGTACTCAGTAACACAGCTCATATACAGCGCCTCCATGGACCAGATCAGCGCCATCACCAGCAGCGCCGAGTACTGTGAGCAGTATGTCTCCTATTTCTGCAAGATGTCGAGGTTGTTGAACACCCCAGGTAGGCTGAGAATGGAGTGTTACTTTTAATTACTATCTCAGCTGGTGTTTGGAATTACCTAAACAATCCAACAGGTGTGGCTTATTATCTTAACAGTCCAGTCTTCAAAGTGCAGGCAGCTGTGAAAGTAAAATAGAACCACTTGTTTTCTGGAGAAGGAAGTTAAGAACATACAGTTTTTGTTAAAAAAAAAAAAATCCATTGTTTCTTAGACTTTTTCAGTTTTATATGCGTGTGTGTGTGTGTGTGTGTGTGTGTGTGTGAATGCTTCTAATGCATAATTATCAGTATTTGCTTTGGGCAAAAGTTTGTGAGAATTCCTTGTGAACTTTCAAGTAATTCCCTCTGAGTTCTTCAGTTGTCTTTAATGTACAGATGAAAGAATTCCAAAGGCTGTCTGTAGGTAAATAGCATATAGAATAGTGATAGAATTTAGAGCTCTTCATTATCTGTAGTCATTTAATAGTATCTGTTGGTCTCAGAAAGTCTGCCTTTTTTGTTGTTGTTTATTTGTATTTTTTTTCATGATGCCTTATTTTAACAATGCTTAAGGATTTATATGTGTGTGTTGGGGGTACAGAAAATTGGAGAATTTATAAAGGATGTATTGGAAATATCTTTACCACAAGAGACATATACTTTGGGATTCTTGGCAGTAAATTCAATACGTTGAGCAACCTAATCTCTCCATCTATAGTATAAAATAGTAGAAATAAAGCATATGCTTTGAGTCAAAGAAACAGGTTCACACTTTTCATCCTGGCTTCTTGGGTATGTGACTTTGGAGTTCACTGAACCCCTCTGCCTCAATTTCCAATGTCTTTCAGTCAAATAGGGATCCTATTTCAGAGTGATTGTGAAAATTTAATGAGATAATGTACTAAGGGCTTATTATAAGTCTTGATGCACTTAAGAACTTAATAAATAGCAAATAGTGTGTTGATTATTTTTAAATTATTAACCAAGTTTGGAAGTGGCATTATGTCAGAGACCAATGGGCTGTTTTATGCCCTAGGGCCAGTGTTGCAGGGAGTTACTTACAGAGGATACTTATAAGCAGAACCATATATACTGTTTTGAAGATTACAGTGCTTTTATGTATAAAGCCTTGTACTCACATTACAGACAAGCATAACCTAGGAACTGTAAGAAAGTAAAATATGTAAAATATGAAAAGGATTGGTTCAGACAATTAGTGCTTCTGCTATTTAGAGAAAGAAGACTTGACCGTGGCCGCGATGTTGAAGTGATGCTTTATTAAAGACGTTGAAAGGCAATTTGTGGTGGGTAAACGAGAGTCAGGAAGACAGAATACGAAAGATCCTTCAGGTCATGGTGAGAAGTGTTTTAGCAGAAGTAGAGTTCATGTTGAAGAGCAGTAAGAAATAAGGTTGAAAGTAAAAATAGGAGACACCATGAAGGAAACTAAATGCAATGCTGCAATTTTTCCTGATGGCCTGGACTTCTCAGGTTTTAGCATGCATGCAAATAACCAGGAGGGATTTAATAAAATGCAAACGGCAGGGCTCCATTCCCTGAAATCCTGACTCACTGGGTGTCAGGTGGGCTCCAGAATTTTCATTTGTACTAAGTGCTATGGACTGAATTATGTCACCCAAAATTCATATGTTGATATCCTAATCCCTAATATGGCTGTATTCGAGATAGGGCTTTTAGGAGATAATTAAGATTAAATGAGGTTTTAAGACTGGGTTCCTAATCTACTTGGACTGGTGGTTTATAAAAAGAGGAAGAGTCACGAAGACAGCTCTCACCAGAAACCGAACTGGCAGCGCCTTGATCTTGGACTTACAGCCTCCAGAACTGCAAGAAAATAAATGTCGATTTTTTTAAGCCAATTATTTGGTAGTATTTTGTTATGTTAGTCTGAGCAGGTTAGTACAGTGAATTCCCAGGTGGTGGTAGAACTGCTGACCCAGAGACCACTCTAAGACCACATGTGGTCCAGAGACCACATGTAACTGTGTGTCCTGAAATCCCTTTAAGTTCCTACAGCTGTTTTTCTATCCACCTTCAGCTGTCACAATCTTTTATTTATTTATTTATTTATTATTATTATTATTATTTTTAACTGGATCCTGCTTCCAGTGCTGGGAAATGTCAACCAAGGACTGAGAAAGCCCAGGGCGCTGGGTGCAATGAATGAGTCCCATCAGCTTGTCTGCGCTGCTTCATGAGGGAGAGCGCCTTGTCGAAGTTCATTCCAGAGACTCCAGTCCAGGAAGGGACAGGCCTGAGGGAAAACTGCTGACTAAGAAAAATAAATTGGTACCCTGAGCTTTATTTTCCTTATTTCTTCCATTCTTCTATTAAACTCCAAAGTCAGCTTTTACTTGTTTGCATTTTGCTCTGGTGGTTAAAAAATACAGTGCAGCTTCCAAATAAGTTTATCTTACAGTTCAGTTCAGGCAGCATGAGAATTGGGCTGGAGATAAGGGAAGAAGTGGACTTTTAGAGCCTCTGTCCTTGTATTTCCTTCCTTCCCTTCCCCCAGCCACCAAGAAGCCTCTTGCACTTATTATCCTCCTTTTGAAAACACAGGATGTCGAAAACCATCAGGAAACATGGGATAAATCTATCTTTAAGCAACACTTTAGTTATGTTTTCTAACAATAAGCTAAATGCACTTCTCTTCAAACTCCAGACACCTTTTCAGGAGAAGAACTACCAAACTGAAATCAGGAATGAATTGTTAATCTACACAGTAAGCGCACTATTTTCTTTGTGTTTCCAAACATTTGCAGATTATTATTGTCCTTTATAAACTGTACCTTGAAAATATTACCACATGCTTCTTGCCTTAGGAGATACCCTCCATGTATCAGCTTTTACTCACATAGAATTGGTAATTAATAAATGTTTGCTGACTGGAATGAAATGAAAAATACATTGTTTTAAATATTACTTCATCCAATATTCAGGCAGTTGTTTTTAAACAAGCGTGAACATCGGAGTTTTCAGGTGGCTCATCACAATGGTGATTCCCATGATTTTGACTCGGTAGAACTTGGTCAGGGCACAGGAATGTCTGCTTTTAACAAACATCCATGGGTCAGTCTGTGAACTCTATATTCAAAAATGCCATCTTTAATTTACGGCATGAGGATAAAATTTGGATTTTAAAGTGTTAGTCTTCTGTGTGAAAGAAGATTAAAGGGAATATTAGAACCGTCTGACCAATGGAAATAAAATGGCATACATAACTACTTGTTCCTCCAGCTAGAATAAATTGGCATAGTGGCATTTTAAAAATCCTTTTCATAGACTAAATGTTGTAAAGTGAGTTTCAGCCAACTGTTCTTAGTCATTTTTCACATCCCAATTTCTATTTTCCGGGCTAACTAATCAGTAGACAGCTGAGGCAAGGAAAAGGAGTGGTTGATACAGCAAGTTTTCCTTGTTACTGTATTCTACATATGTCCAAGAATAAAAGAACACAATTTAATACAAATTTTTAATTTGCTATTTTAAGGAGCTGATGTTTGCTGTAATTGGTTTTTTCCTTCCTTCCTGGTAACATTCCTTTTTAAGTATCCATTTACTCGTTCTTAACTAAGGCTGAATTATATTGAAACTTCTGCAGTAGTACTTGTGACATCTGTTTGAATACAAAGTATATTCATTATAGTCGAGGCAATTAAGATGAATATCAAATGGGTTTGTAATAGCTTTGCACTTAAAATGTTATTCTTGGTTTTAAGAGCCTTTTCCTCAAGTGTTCATTTGGGGCTCTATAATTTCTAGTGATACTTATGATAAAGAGTTGATTTTGTATGTATATGGACCTTAATTTTGTTTTGATAAATGTTTGATTGTATCTAACCATTAGCTAACAAATGTAGATTTACCCATTAATGGTCTTTCACAACTTTTACAAGAATAGTAATATATGACTTGCAATGTTATCACTTCTTTTTATTACTACAAAAATTTTAAAAAGAATCAACTTTAAAATAATGCTTTTGCCATTCTTTATGGTCATACCTATTCTTGCAAAGTATCTATTAATTCAGTCGTGCTTAATCAACTTTACGAAAGACATAGAAACAAGACAAAGTTATTTTATTTCATACCAATTTGAAATTATAAATAAACTCTACCCATACAGAAAGAAAAAAAAACATTCATAGCTATCCAAAACCACAAGGATGTCAATACATTTTATATTTATATCCCTAGAACTGCAAATATACTGATATCTGAAATTAATGAAAGGCAGAAATCTTTAAACAATGAAATCTACTTTTGAAAATAGATATCTCAGGAGTTGAATTTGATAAATTAGACACCAGTAGAAGTTTCATTAGTTACCACATGAGTTGTCTCAGTCAACAATCCTAATGCTTTTAGATGGCAAAAATATTTCTCTCTATTTGGACAAAACCTGATTTTAAATGTTTACCTGTGTATCTAAGATGCACTGTTGTCATGTGTTTATTTTATAAAAGTTACACTTTCTAATATAGCATTTTCTGCTAAAGTATTCCCTACATATATAAATATTTATTTAATTATAGACATATAAAGTTGATGTGTTTTTTCTATTTTTATGACTATATTTAGTGTTGTTTTCATTGGTTCCCAGTGCTCATTTCTTTTCACTGTGTGATGTAGTTTTGTTCTCATAAGTCATAGTTCTATAGTTTATTTTTTAGAAAGAAGAAATATAAATTATTCATACTTCTGGATAGTTTACTGTTGGATTTTGTATCTATTGGAAAGGAGTTATGTTCACAACTGCCTGGAAAGTAAGCTGCATAAAATTCAGTATACTTTAATGTTACTGCTCTATGATTTGGTGAAACACAAGAAAGGGCTTCTCTGATGCCTCAGCAGAAAACAATCCACCTGCAATTTCAGAGACCCAGGTATGATCCCTGGGTCAGGAATATTCCCTGGAGAAGGAAATGGCAACTCACTCCCGTATTCTTGCCTGGAGAATTCCATGGACAGAGGAGCCTAGCAAGTTATAGTCCAAG